TGTCTTGTATTTTGTGATGTTCAGTAAGCACCTCTACAATGGCCTGCACAATGTGGTAGGGAGTAAGCCACATAATCAGACACCCAGAGAGGAGACTCCATCCATGAATGTGACAATAACATTCAAGTCCCACATATATCAGGAGAACCCAAATATCTCAGTTACAGCCCCCCCCCCAACCCCCAAAGAACACCCAGCTGAGGAGACCTGAGAGACTGCACCACCGAGTCCCACAAAGTATCTAATACATAAGACCAACCCAAAAATCTGGGTAGCATAGCAGTTTGATTTAATACATAGAAACAATTACAAAGAAACAACCCCCAAATGAAACAAAAAAGGAATCACTAGAAAAAGCACTAAATGAAATGGAGGCACATAATTTGTCAGAGAAAGAATTCAGAGTAATGCTTATCAGGATGCTCAAACGTCTGGATGAGAAATACACCCAACTCAATGAGAATTTTAAGGAGCTGAATGAGAAATACAAACATGAATAAAAACAAGAGGAAATGAAGAATGGCATAGCTGCAATAAAGAACACTATGGAAGGTTTCAACAATAGACTAGAAGGAGCAGATGACCGAATCAGCGAGTTAGAAGGTAAAAAACCACAACACCCAAGCAAAGCAGCAACTGGAAGAATAAAAATAAAAAGCAGGAGGAGAGTCTAAGGGAGCTCTGGGACAACATGAAACAAAACAGCATCCACATAATATGGGTGCCAGAAGAAGCTGAGCAAGGAATAGAAAACATGTTTGAAGAAATAATGACAAAGAACTTCCCTAACTTGAGGAAGAAAAAAATCACACAAGTCCAAGGAGCACAGAGAGTCCCAATCAAGAGGAACCCAAAAAGACCTACACCAAGACACATCATAATTAATTTGGCAAACATAAACGACAAAGAATCTTAAAGTCTGCAAGAGAGAGAGACAGAAAGTTACCTATAAGGGATCTCCATTAGTGCTGGAGACCAAGATCAACAGTAACTGATATAAATGTGAGGAGTCTGGCAAAAGGCTGACCAGGACTCCTTTTGATATTCACAGGGTGAATATCTACATTTTATTACCTGCTGCTGACTCAATGGCCTAAAGCAAACTCCCCCAAAACCTGACAATCTTACTGTTTACTAAACATTACCATTGATATGTCTGTTTGCATTCCTAAAGACAATTGTGTATTCTAACTAATAAAAGCAGCTGGGAAAGGAGCAACAGAGAGAGCTTGACTGCTATAGTTAAGTTGTCCTCTGGTTCCCCCATATTAAAAATAATATTTTGTCTTATGTATCATTTGTGCGTCAGCCCTTCCTCCAAGCCTTTGAACCCGCAAAAGCCATGCTGGCCATGGACTCTCGCAACTGGTGTCAGAAAGAGGATCTTGGAGGAAAAGGATTCGCCATAGCGGAAAAATATCACCGGACCTGGTGGTGGAAGTTTAACTGAGTGCAAAACTCGTGTCATCTGCGGAAGCCCGCGGATCTGTAAGTGCTCGAGTGATTTCTTTTGTTTCAACCAGATCAAAATGGGGCAGAATTTGTCAAGAGAGGAGAAACTTCCCTATAGACTTCTGACTTGCTTATTAAAGGATAAAGGAGTTGCAGTTTCAGAAGATCTTGTTTTATAGTTTCTACAGATTATTATAGAATATAATCCATGGTTTTCTGATGAGGGTACATTGGATATTGAATGTTGGGAACGGATAGGTCAGAACTTTAAAGCAGCTCAGCAGCAGGGGAAAAATTTGCCTCCAAATTTTCTCCTTGTGGGAAACGGTATTGCATTTGCTAGAGCCTTTCAAAGAAGAAAGACCTCCTCCCCTTGCACCCTCCGCTCCTAAAGAGAAGCAGAAAGATAAATTAGAGGAGTGGCCTTCATGTCCTGATTCTGAAATATTTAAATCACCACCAACAGAATCACCTATGCAAAAAGCCATCAGAAAAGGATTAAAGGACATGACAGTAGAAGATAGACTAGCTTTTCCTATTATACGGGTAGCTAATGAAAGGGCGAGGGCTATACCCTCCATCTTACCCCTGATCCTCCATTTTTGGGCAGCAGCCATTAGCCATGTGCTCAGCAAGGAGCTTCTTCCCGGAAGCCCAAGCCTCTGCTAGCCACACTTAGGATTTCTTTAAACTAACCAATGACAATCAAGGGAAGTGTGCGCCATAGACACAACCACATCCTGTGTAACAAGACCCCGACTTGCACCTGGCCAATCGGCAGGGCCCACAGTCCTCTCTCCTCCCCTTACTCCAACCCCCCTATAAAGCCCCTCTTCCCACAGTGCTCTCTCTCTACCTCCTGCCCCTGCGTTGGCGAGTGTGGTGGGGGAGCTCGAGCTAGCTCGAATAAAGACTCTTTTTGCTTTTGCATCGGACTCAGCTGGCTCCCTGGTGGTCTTTTGGGGATCCTGAAATCTGGGCATAACACTAATCCACAATTCCCAAATCGAATAATAAGACTGCATGAAAGATTTGACTTTAAAATGATAAAGGCCTTGTCTGATAGTGTAATACAGAATGGTGCAAATGCTCCATTTACTGGAGAAATTATAACTAACATTTCTGAAGCATTCCTAGCTCCTTATGATTGGTATTCTCTAGCCCGTGCAACTCTGGATGGAGGAGATTATTTGCTCTGGAAAGGAAAATTTTTAGAGAAATGTCAAGAGCAAGCTTCTTCAAATCTCAGGCAGAATATTCCCATAACTTTTGAGATGCTTGCTGGACCGGGACAATTTAGTGATGTTCATAATCAGCTCCAATACGTCCAGCAGGCGTACGAGCAAATTAGACTTTGTGGATGAAAAGCCTAGTGGACTTTACCAGCAAAAGGAGAACCTGAAAAAGCCTTTAGTAAGTGCATGCAGGGACCCACTGAGTCATTCTCTGATTTTGTAGCTCACCTCACTCGAGCAGTGAGTAGGCAGATTCAACATGAGACAGCAGGAGACATTTTGACTCAGCAATTAACTTATGAAATGCAAATGCTGATTGTAAGAAATGTTTAATGCCTCTAAGAAAAATAGTACCATTACAGAAATGATTCAAGCATGTCAGAATGTAGGGTCAGGCATTTTTCAGATAAGCTTACTAGCTGCCGCAATTACAAGAAACAAATTATGTTTCAATTGTGGACAACAAGGACATTTTTAAAAAGGAATGTAAGTAACCAAAAAATGACGCTAAGGGAGAAGGCATAAACATTCTGCCTCCCAACTCAGGTAATGCAGGTCTATGTCCCATATGTAAGAAGGGGAGTCATTGGGCCAATCAATGTAGATCTAAATTTCATAGAAATAGCCAGCCATTAAATCAAGACATAGGAAATGGCCAGCTGCAGGGAAACAGTCTGAGGGGCTCCCCCCAGCCCCGTTATTAAATAAGGGGAAGTTCCACCCTGCCAAGACCACAGTAGATTCCCTTCTTCAAGTCACTCCAGAAAGAAATGCTAAATTTGATCTTAATAGCACAATAACAATCACCCTGATCCCCGATATGGCTAGACAAGTTGTTCCTACAGGAATTTGGGGACCTGTGACACCAGGAAAATCAGGTTTAGTCCTAGGAAAGAGTGAACATACGCTAACAGGACTGTTTTTCCTGGAGTCATAGATTCAGAATATAAGGGAGAAATCATAATAATTTTAGAATGCAAACATATTATGCAAATTACTCCAGGACAAAAAATTGCTCAGCTCCTGCTTTTACCTTATATTCAGCAAGGTGAAGTTATAAATAGGAAAAGAGGGACACAAGGATTTGGAAGCTCAGATATATATTGGATACCGGAAATTAGCAAAACCTGTCCTATGATTAATCTAAAAATAGAGGGAAAAATGTTTAAAGGTTTAGTAGACACTGGAGCAGATATTAGTGTCATCAGTCAAGAATTCTGGCCTCCAAGTTGGTCCATGGTAGACGCTATGGGCTCTATCACGGGTGTTGGAATTCCTGATAACATGCAACGCAGCGCTGCAGTGTTAAAGTGGAAAGATGAGGAAGGACAAACAGGATGGTTTCAGCCTTATATTGTCTCTGGAATTGCAGTCAACTTATGGGGACAAGACATTTTAGAAGGTTTACAAGCTTGTATTATTACTGGCAAAAGACAACAACTCCGATAGGATATTAAGCTGGTCAAGATTTAGGAAAAGATAATCAGGAGATTAAAGAACCCATTCAGGCCAAAGAAAACACAGGAAAACAAGAATTAGAATATCAGCCTTTGTTAAGAGTGGTCACTGCTCAATCTCCTCACTCCCGTGCTGAGCCTATACAATGGAAAGATGATAGGCCTATATGGGTGGATCAGTGGCCATTAACCAAGGAGAAATTAAATCATATTCATGAATTAATACAGTTACAAATAGAGGCTGGTCATATAGAACCTTCCAATAGTCCTTGGAATACTCCTATATTTACTATACCTAAGAAGGCGGCAGGAAAATGGCAACTGTTACATGATCATAGAGTTGTTAATGCCACTAAGCATACCATGGGAGCTTTACAGCCTGGACTCCCAGCGCCTTCACAAATACCTCTAGATTGGTCTCTTATAGTAGTAGATCTTAAGGATTGTTTCTTCACCATTCCCTTGGCACTGCAAGATAAACAAAGATTTGCCTTTTCAGTGCCATCTATTAATAATATAGAGCCTATGAAAAGATATCAATGGAAAGTTTTGCCTCAAGGAATGGCCAATAGCCCTACTTTATGTCAAAAATATGTAGCTCAAGCCATTCAGCCTTTAAGGGACAAATATTCCCAGTGTTATATTGTCCATTACATGGATGACTTGCTCCTAGTGAGTCCACAGGAAGAAGAGACTTTAGCAATGTTTTCTCAATTAGAAAAGGAACATCCTAAATGGAATTTAAAAACTGCTCCAGAAAAAATACAGAAAGAAATGCCTTTTAAATATCTAGGTACCATAATTGAAAACCAATATATTAAACCTCAGAAAGTAGAAAGAAGAAAAGACTGCCTTAATCGCTTCTCGGCCTTTTGGCTAAGATCAAGTGTAAAAGACTGCCTTAAAACCTTAAATGACTTTCAAAAATTATTAGGGGACATTAATTGGTTAAGACTTTATCTAAAAATCTCTACAGGAGAAATGACTAATTTATTTAATATACTTAGAGGTGACTCTAATCTTTCCTCACCCCAAGTATTGACAGATGAAGCTAGAAAGGAGTTACAAAGAATTGAACAGGCAATCTCCTTAACCCAAGTGGCACAAGTACTGCCTGAATTGCCTTTATTGGGACAGATTAATCCTACTGCAAATAGTTCCACTGGAGTCATCTTCCAAAATAAAAACACTCTTGCTATTATTGAATGGGTCCACCTAGGACATCAATCCTCTAAAACTGCAGTTACATATATAGAGCTTATGGCTCAATTAATATTTCAGCTTAGAAAACGCTGCAGACAGCTTAGAGGACAAGAAGCCCAATGTATTTACCTTCCCCTTACTGGGAAGCAATTACAAACGTTATTTCAGACTGATTTAAATTGGCAAATTAGACTGAGTGGATATTCAGGGGATCTTAGTTGTCAACTACTAAAAGACAAATTACTACAATTTTTATATTATACTCCTATTATTTTACCAAAAAAATACTAGACAGGAACCTATTCCTGAAAGCATTAACTGTTTTTACTGATGGATCATCAAATGGCAAAGCTGCTTATTATACAATGAATTTAGACCGAGTCATCTAAACTAGTCTACTTCTGTACAAAGAATTGAGTTAGAAGCTATTAAGGCTGCATTACAAGAATTGCAAGAACCTCTTAATATTATCTCAGATTCTTTTTACGCTGCAGGTTTACTAAATAGAATTGAAACTGCTTGTTTAAAATGGCTTAGTGACTGAAAGGGCGAGTTGTTGCGGGGCCTACGTGGGCCGGCCGCCGGGCCCCATGAGACACAGCCTGACCATGCTGCTGGCGGCCTCGGGCACCGACTCCCCAGCCCACGGCGGGAGCCCGGCGCAGGCTGCCACCCGCCCGCCGTCCCCGGACCGGACCCACGCGGCAGCAGTGGCGGCGGGGCGGGGCGCGTGCCCTCGCCCGAGGAGATGGAGGACGTGGACTTCCTGTCTGGACTGGAACTGGTCGATCTGCTGGACCCCCAGCAGCCGGACTGGCCCCTGGAGCCCGGGCTCAGCTCGCCCTGCAGGGGGGCTAGGACTGCGTCCTCCATCTTGCCCTGGGTCCTCCATTTTTGGGGCGGCCACCATGTGCTCAGGAGAGTGCCTTCTTCCCGGAAGCCCAGGCCCCTGCTGGCTACGCCCAGGATTTCTTTAAACTAACCAATGACAATCAAGGGACGTGCGCACCATAGAGATGACCACATCCTGTGTAACAAGACCCGACTCACGCCTGGCCAATCGGCGGGGCCCACAGTCCCCTCCCCTGCCCTTAAAACCCACAATCCCATCAGGCCTCGCTCTCTCGGACACTGGAGCTTACCGTTGCATCGGTGAGTGTGGCAGGGGAGCCAAACCTAGGTTTGAAATGAATGACTCTTTGCTTTTGCATCGGACTCGCTGGCTCCCTGTGGGGGTTCTTGGGAATCTTGAAATCTGGGCACAACAGTGACCAAAGTTTATTTTTACTATTTAAACAAGTCCAGCAGATTGTGCAACAAAGACAATATCCTTTCTATATTACTCACATAAGGGCTCATAGTTCATTACCTGGCCCTTTGGCAAAAGGAAATGCACATGCTGATCAATTGGTAGCTTTATTAAAACAGGCCTCAGAATCTCATCAGCTTTTACATCAGTCTGCCAAAATGTCTAGACAATTCTCAATCTCTCGCCAGCAGGCAAAACAGATTCTCAGAGAATGTCCCACTTGCATGTTACATCTACCTCAAGAGCCTAACTCAGGAGTCAACCCTAGAGGTTTGCTAAGAGACCATATCTGGCAAATGGATGTGACACATTATACTTCCTTTGGACGCCTTGGGGCATTGCATGTCTCTGTAGACACCTTTTCAAAAGTCCTTTGGGCTACTGCATCTACAGGGGAAATGGCAAAACAGATTATTAATCATTGCCTAGCTGCTTTTGCCATCATGGGAATTCCAAAAATTATTAAAACTGATAATGGACCTGATAATTATTAAAACTGATAAAGCTGTCATTTCCAGCAATTTTGTAAAAAGTGGAAAATTCAGCAATTACAGGAATACCATTTAATTCCCAAGGATAGGCCATTATTGAACGACAGCATCAGCGACTAAAATCCCAACTTGAAAAACAAAAAGGGGCAATAATGATGGAGAAATCACCTGTGGGAAGGCTGCCCCAAGCCTTAATTACCTTAAATTTTTTCAATTGTGATGCTGATGACAAGACACCAATGGAGTTACACTGGTGTCAAAATAAAACAAAGGAAAATGGTCTAGTTAAATGGAAAGATCCTGAATCTGGTTTATGGAAGGGACCCGATCCATTATTAACCTTTGGCAGAGGGTATGCTTGTATATTTCCAGAAAATTTCTCCAAACCTGTGTGAATTCCTGCTAGAAATATTAAACTACAACATGAATCCAAGAGAGGAACAAGCCAAATTAATGAGGACCTTGCACCTGGAGCCACACCATGCAGCTGTGGACAATCGGCTACCCCAGCCACAAACAGCAGCCCCAGGCAACACAATGAAGATAAGGAGTGGAAGAAGAACATGGCAGACGATGAACAGTCCAGAGATGACTTGGGGAGTGATAAAGACGGTCCAGAAAGCTGAACGAATTTGTGAAGAAACCAGAACCCCAAGAATGCCTAAAAATGTCTTTCTTAAAAACAATTTTAAAAAAAATGTCTTTCTTGCCATGCTGGCAGTAACCAGCTGTGCGGTAATCTCACCAAGGGCTAATGGGGATGTCTTCCAGGGTAAAATCTCTTACATGGACTGATCCCCCACCTAGTATAATAAATATATGGGCAAAGTATAATTACCTGGGTGTCCCCACCCGGCTTCCCTTTTTTATATGACACAAGAATCAAACTACTGCTCCTTTGTGTGTAGAATTAAAGCCGGCTAGCATCACACCAAAGGAAGGGGAAACAAAAACCTAATTAATTACTAACACTGCTTCTGAGAGAGGCCAAGAAAAATTTAACATTACTAAGATCTCCTCCCATTAAGCCATTATGTAAAAAAATCTTATGAATGGCACCCACTAGCAGCAAACTTGACAAGTTTTTTCTTTTGTGGATTGAAGCCCCTATGGGTCTGCATATAGTAATAATCAATGAAAATCAGCTGCTGCAATTGCACCAGTAAAATGATATAGTTTAAAATAATAACTTTAATGAAAAATCACCTTCTTGGTGCTTAAAGTAAAAATAACACCACCCTTGATGTTTTAAAATTATAGCAGCATACTGTATAATTATCCCAGGCAAACTGAAAAATCTAATTCCTTAGATGCCTGGCAGCAATTTAAAGAAAGAATTTGCTCCTTTACTTTTGCCTTTTAGCATAACTACTATTGCCTGTCTCATTCTTGTTCTTATTTAATTTTAGTCTGCAGATGCGAATAAAAATCTTAAGAGAATTGAAACTCTGCAAGCGACATATCAACCTCTATTAAGAATTTAAAGAAGGGGGAATTGCTGGAGATCAAGATCAACAGTAACTGATATAAATGTGAGGAGTCTGGCAGAAGGCTGACCAGGACTCCTTTTGATATTCACAGGGTGAATATCTACATTTTATTACCTGCTGCTCACTCAATGGCCTAAAGCAACTCCCCCAAAACCTGACAATCTTACTGTTTACTAAACATTACCATTGATATGTCTGTTTGCATTCCTAAAGGCAATTGTGTATTCCAGCTAATAAAAGCAGCTGGGAAAGGAGCAACAGAGAGAACTTGACTGCTATAGTTAAGTTGTCCTCTGGTTCCCCCCATATTAAAAATAATATTTCATCTTGTGTATCATTTGTGCGTCAGCCCTTCCTCCAAAACTTTGAACCCACGAAAGCCACGCTGGCCGCGGACTCTCGCACATTAGAGTAGCAAATGATTTCACAACAGAAAAACGTAAGGCCAGAAGGGAATGGAATGAAGTATAAAAAGTGATGAAAAGCTAGGGACTGAATCCAAGAACACTCTATCCAGCACGGCTATCATTCAAAATTGAAGGTGAAATAAGGAGCTTCAAAGAGAAAAACAGGCTAAGTGGGTTTATTACCACCAATCAGCAGTGCAAGAAATCCTAAAGCGACTGGTGTAAGAACACAGAAAAGAAAAAGAGTGAGAAACAGATATAAAGAATTAAAATGGCAACAAATAAGTATCTATCAATAATAACCTTAAATGTAAATGGATTAAATGCTCCAATCAAAAGACATAGCGTAGTTGAATAGATAAGAAAACATGACTCATATATATACTATCTACAAGAGACCCACCTCAGAACAAAGGACTCACACAGACTGAAAGTGAAGGGATGGAAAAAATTTTCAGGCAAATGGAAATGAAAAAAAAAGTTGGGGTAGCAATACTTATATCTGACAAAATAGACCTCAAAGTTAAGGCCATAAAAAGAGATAAGAAAGGCCACTTCATAATATTAAAGGGATTTATACAAGAGGCTATAACTCTGGTAAACATATATGCACCCAATATAGGAGGAGCATCCAAATATCCTATATAATAAAACACTAATATGCAAATTGTCCCCTCGACCGGGAGTTCAACTGGGAGTTCAACCAGGGGGCAGGGCCAGTAGGCCAACTGCCTGTGGCCCCTTCCCTGGCTGGCCCTGCCCCTAATCAGCCCCCCGACCCTGACTGGGAGCAGGGCTGGCCAGCCAACACTAACCTTAATCCTCTTGCTGGCCAGCAGGCCCCACATACGATCATGGTGGAGGGGGCTGATTGGGAGAGGGGCTGGCCAGACCCCACCCGTGCATGAATTCATGCACCAGGTCTCTGATATAAAATAACTTCTGGAGGATATAAAGGCAGATATCTACAGCAATACAATCATAGTAGGGGACTTTAATACCCCATTGACATCACTGGATAAGTCTTCTAGACAAAAAATCAACAAGGAAACAGCAATCCTAAACGACTCACTAAATCAAATGGAACTAATTGACACCTTCAGAACAGTTCGTCCCAAAGTTATGAAGTATACATTCTTCTCAA